AAACAGAGTGTTTAATAAAAGTGGTATTTGATGGCGATATCTTTGTAGACCAAAATTTCTTCTTGAAAAGGGAATACGCCAGGGGGGCCTATCTCGCAATGGGTATACAGACTCGATTGCTTCTATATTACCAAGATCTAAAGAAATGGCATTATTTTCCCTTACGGATCGTTGATAATTAGATATCAGTCTATGGACATACACATTGATTATATCAATCACTTTATGTTTTTAAAAAGGTGGGATAAAAATGATAGTCGCGTGGAACATCTTCAATGATCCTAAGTGATTTTTTTTTCTTTTTGTAATACGCGTAACTTGTCAATGCTTCATTTTGTATTCGGGCCCCACACCAGGCTAGGGCAGCAGACTAAAGGGTAAGACAGCGCAGTGTAAATCAGATTTTTTTTAAGTATTTACCAGATGTGTGCGTTTATTCATTATTTTGTCAACTTAACATAGTTTTTTTATAAATGTAGGTAACATGACTATTCCAAGACATGTGGCAAGAAAATATTCCCCCCAAGAGGAGGAGGGGAGGGTATGTGGCGGACGCCCCTCCTCCTCCTCGCCCCCTCTGTTGTGCTCCTCCTACTCGCCTGCTTTCCTCTTCTCATTTCTCTCCCTTCCTCCTCATCCTACCCTCCTCTCCTTCCTCCCCCTCCGTTTTTTCCTCCTCCTCCTCCTTTGCTCTTCTACCTCTCCTCCTCCTCCTCCTATCTTCCTCTCCCCTCCTCCTTCTATGTTTTCTCCCCTCCTCCTCCCAGAGTCCTTCTGCTTCTCATTCCCTCCTCCTCCTTCTCCTCCGTACCTTCTCCTCCTTTTTCTGAGTACCCTCCCCCATCCTCCATGCCCTCTCCTCCTAATCCTCCATACCGTTCCCTCCTCCCACAGTTTCGAAGATACATTTAGCTGAAAAACTTGATGCCACGCGACCTCAACACCAATTCAGCTTCCCCGCTAAATTTAGCGGAGGAAATGACGTCACATTATTTGGTGTCACGTGCACCTATGAACCAATTTAGTTTCTCCGCTAAATTTAGCGGGAAAATTGCCGTTACGTGACCTCAACACCATTTTAATTCCCCGCTAAATTTAGCGGGGAATTGAATTGGTGTTCAGGTCGTGGAACATCAATTTTCCCGCTAAATTTAACGCGGTTACGCCGACGCCGACGGTGGCGCCGACAACGCAAACATGGAAACGGGCGCCTAAGGGCTCCGCTCTAAAATCAGAGGCATGGGCAACGAAACACGAGGCACGTGACCTTGTTGGTACAGTCATGTCTCGTTTATATGGATCCCGTTAATATGAATACCCCGCTATATGGACACAATTGTTGGGGACAAACTGGGAACATAGACGCATTTTAGTTTTGTTCTTATGGACCACTCACATTACGGACAATTTCTTGGGGGAACGGAGGCGCCCATATCGACGGGACATCACTGTACAACTACAGTTTCACGGGAAATGCCATTGACTTGCTGTTTTCTGTTTTTTAATCACTTAAGAAGTACATATTTCGCCCATATTCTCAGATGATAAGTTGGGATAATTGTCGTGTAAAGAAAGAAAGAAAAAACTCTGTTCAAGTTTAAAAGAAATTGAAACAAAACCTGTTGGCTTTATGTTTAGACGGTTTTTATGTTAAACACCGCAAACTTCTTCGGGCCCATCTATATAATTTCTTTCAGACTCGGCCTTCTGTCTAGAAATTCTTTCCGGCTGGGGCCGGGTCCGGGCAGTCTCTCCTACGGGACGGGTCTGGACGGGCTTAAAAATTAAATATTCTCTCTGGCTGGGCCGGACCCGGGCCGTGCCTCTACCGGGCCGGGTTGGGCCGGGTTGGGCCAGGCCTAGAAATTCCACCCCGTGCAATGCTGTAATGTACGTACGTGTATATTAGGCGCTTGTGAGTTAAAATAGCACATATCGAAATCTTTCTCAAGTGATGTAATGTGAACGGATTGTTTATTTTACAGGTCCTACGGCATTTATGCATCTCCAACAGCGTTGTGTTTCCCATGGCCTCGGCGGGAGCTGGGGAGCTTCACGCCTTCTAAGCTTTCAGGGTTGCGACAGTCCAGTACGAAACAGTGCCTACAGCTTCGACGTTCGCTTTTCTGCGACAGCTGATAGCATTGTTAAGAATAAAAGACCAAAGCTCAGGAATAAACACTTTCAAACTGATGCGTGAAGAGCCCCGCGAGCAAGCAGCCTGTCGAAAGGGCCTTCCTAGGGTTGCAAATATTTGGAGCTAAGTGGCGCAACGCGTCACACCAAGCTTGATTGCCCTGAGGAAATTTGAGTGAATGTATTGGTTCAAACGTGATTTCTACTTTTCAAAACATTTCTGGAACTCATATAAAACAACGCCTTTCGTGCCTTCCACGTTTGCGCTAGGCCTGTTCCGCATCCCGAAAACGTTTTTATAGGACTTTTTTTTTTTTACACGAACGAATCCGTATTCGTAGCACCAGCTCCGTCACTTCTGACGACACTTGAATGAAATGTTTAAGTCAATTTACAGATGTTGTCTTTTTTATTTTTTTTTTAGCTATTGAAAAGCGTTCGCTCGGGAATTTATGTGATGAGCAGTGAGCACACGAGGAACACATTTTGCTGAAACTCATTTTATGTTCAAATGTTCGACCAAAACAAGTTGACACGAACTTCAGGACAATGCACTCATTTCAGCAGGTTCTTGAATTGTCTTCGGCAGTCTTGCCGAGCTCATATCCGGTATTTTCTCGATGTTTTCATCGTTTAAGGAGGCTGATGGTCGCCGGAACCGACGTTGGTATACGATCAATAGTTCACTGGCCTTGGCGAGAAAAAAAAGCACTCGTAGGCCTGCCATTTCTTTATAGCACTTCCTCTGTTAGCTGTATGAAATATTACAAAAGTTTCCACCGCCGGTTTCCCGAAGAGAAAACAAAATTTCGAGGACGCGCTCTGTTTCTTAAAATCAGACGTTGTAAAAAACTAGGAATGATTTTATAACTCTTGGGAAAAAAAAATTCCACCATGCCGCTAGATCCTTATCAGACGACGCTAGTCGGCAAACTGACCCAGAAGATTTGCTGCTAATCACTGCAAGAGGCCAAAGCTTGAACCACGAACGGCCAGCCCTTTATAGATGCTTTTAGGTTACTTAACCGTCCCCCTTGTAGATAAGTAATTTAGCCTTTGCAATACGACTGCTAGCCTGGGAGTTTTATAGTGTATCAGGAAGTAGTGATACGCTACCGTGCACTGGTACGATGCTCATCCAGATCAAACAGGGCAGGGCTGTCGATTGAACCTAAGCTACCTGGGGTCTGCCGCGCAATCTTTCGCTAAAGCTGCTCCGATGTATGGTGTGCTCTTGACAACACAGACATCGAGCCAATGCGCGATGAGTAATCGCCGTGTAATGAACTGTCTCTACATGACGTAACTCCAAAATAGCTAAATTTGGCATTTGGTGCTAACCAGCACACCCCTTAACCGGCCGAAGCCAAGGGTCCAATCATTCCTTTGACAGTGTCTGATGAAATATATATTGACGCCAAAAAAGTGAACATGTTCTTAAAAGAAAGGTGTGTGCTTATGAAAGCTTGGAACTGTTTTTAAAGCAAAAACAAACCCTGACTCGCAACAAATTTTAGGTACGAAGTTAAACATATAAAGTCATCCAAACCTCGAGTCAATTCAGGTTGTTAAAAAGAAGCTCTGGCGAAACTTTGATAGTCACTTGTTTGCCTCAAAGTAGGCTTAACACGTTAATTACAGATCTGAAGTAGAAACCCAAATAAGAGGTTACTATAATTGTTTTCGCGAAGTTATTACATTTTCAAGTGCGGACCGAAAGGCTGAGAGGCTCAATTTGCAAAAGAGAAAACGTGATGGCAGATTAATATGAGGCAATTATATCTTGTTAATGATGAGTTCAAAGAAATATGGTGACATATATTGAAGACTAAAAACACTCACACGAGAAAACAAAAAGCACAAAATACTTTTTTTATTACCTGCCTGCTCGACCTTGAATCTAAAAAGCGTGGTAGGGCAGGACGCCGGAAAACGCTCGAAAAGTCGAATTCAGACTTTAAGAAATGCCTGCGCGTCTTCTTACCCGGCAAACACATAAATTGCCAATCTCTGCTATCTTCGAAACCTGCTCACTGGATTATGAGGCGCAACATGCGTTTAGAACTAAAAATAAAGTGTGCGCTGTGGCATTACGCAATGCAAAGCGTCAGGCTTCGATTGCGTAATGCCACAGCGAAGACTTAATTTTGAGGTCTAAACAGATGTTTCGCCTCATTATTCGTTGAAGTGACTTTCTAGAACGCAATGATTGGCACATTGAGTGTTTTGCGGGTGATAAGAGGCAGATACATTTCTGAGAGTGTTGGATTTGGCATAACTTTCCTTTCTCGTTTTACGCGTATCTATTTGAATTTAGACGTAATAAATACCACGCTGGGAGGAGTAAAGCCGGAAAGTTCGAAGATGTACATAGCTAGGAGAGGCTAAATAGAATACCTTTGGTGAAAATTACGAATTACAATTGCACGAAGTATGTGGTGTAAATGCTCCTTCGCTTACCAAGATAATTTGCGATACAACTGTAGAAACACACGATTTGTGCTCCAAATGAAATCTTGAAGCGTTTGGAAGAGAGACAAATTAGATAATATGATAACGACATTTTCAAGTTGAGTGGAAGCCTTCGCACCTTTAAGTCGATGCCAACCGAATGATGCCGTAATAGATGAGAGATTAGTGTAACTCATAGTTGGATGGAAGTCTTCCATCTCCGCGAGTAATGAAACGTCATCGTTTTTCAGAAAATGATAGGTTGTGAGCAAACGCTTCTCACGAATTCGACGCGGTAGTCGCTATCAGCAATATTATTGCGCGGCTGATAGCGACTGGGGCGTCGGATTCGCTATATAATGAAAACCTCGAATCTCTCTTGGAGCATCGTTTGTTAGGAAGAAACCTCAGCCATGACCGTCACACTCATCTTGCTCGCTGCCTTTGCGACACTTCTCTTTTGGTGAGAATCTCTTCCGAATTTGGTGCTTCAAAATTAGCTAAAGACTCGTAAAGCTTCGAAAGGTTATGAATGCGGGCTCTCTTATTCCGCTTGAAGCCCATTTCTTTACTACTAATGCTTCATCATAAACTGGCGGAGATGTTTTCATTTAGTGAACTGGGCAGAGCTTATTAGGGAAGAGCTTACGTGAAGGTATAAAACATAAAAATGGGGACGCAAACAGAATTTCTTTCATCTTTCAACACTGTTTCCGTCACCATGCTCTTTATTCTCTTCTTTCATACATCCGTATTTATTCACCAGCGCGCTTGTTTTTTTTAGATTTTTTTAGGGTCTGTGGTGTATGAAACATCTTCTGTAACACCAACCACATTTTATATTTCAAAACGAGATGACGCTTGCCAACGCCGTCCTTCAATTTTTTCTATAAGTAGTGCACAATAATATTAAAATAACATCATCATTCATGATAGCGTGTTTGGCGTACCCGTTTAGACCTTGAGGTTTTAGTAAAACAAATCCTTCGTGAAAATATAAAACGACATGCTTTATTACCGTAAATAAAATAAGGACCCAATGATGTGCATTTATCCAAAGTTACTGAACAATCGCGCAAATAAATATTGTGAATACATTGGTCCGTTCCTTCCTTGAACTTCATTTCCCCTCGTGTATTTTCTAATTTAACGAGTTTCTCTATGATTACAACTTACAATTTGAACTGTGAGACACAGTTAGTGTATATGCAAAACCATGTTTGTTTTTTATGTAGCTAATACAGTATACTGCTACCGTTTACGTTAGCGGACCGTACGAGCTCAATGCACTTTAGGTGTTCAAATGACAGGTTACAATTTAACAAATTCTAATTTTGGGTTCGTAGTATTGTGTTTTGCTCTGCATATCTTGCTTGGCGTCTCTGTACTATATTTTTTTTTAATTTTATGATTGACGCATATAGATTCGGTTGAGGTCTATATACAAAGCACGATTTTAACAGACGTGAATCTGTCAAAGTGTTTTAGCGATATTATGTAAAATATACTTGATTTAGATCCTCTGGAATCCGTTAATATTCTGGATTGCCAAACATACTTTTTGTGCGTAAATTCGCCAAAACAATATAGCGATTTAATTCTAAACTAAAGTATACACAGATTAAATGTGATATGTTCTAATATCAATGCATATTACTTTGACTATAAATTGAATTTTGCCTACCTCTTACCTGGCAAAGATGGCGACCTTGAACAAAAATGTGTTTTATATATTTCAAGGAAAGTGCATAGAACCTTTAGTTTCTGGAACGACAAAGGCGTACCCCATGTTGGCATTTATGGCTACCTGGTCTACGCGTACGACATGTTCACAAAGGTGGGATACTTTTGCATTAACTTTTACGGTGTCTATGACATTTGATTTTCATTACAAAATCATTCCCTTTTCAGGTGTTACTTCACAATATTTACTATGAACATTTCGTTATTATTTTCAGCCCATGTACGAGACTGTACGCAAACACTACAAGCGTAATGGACGATTTTACGGGTAAGTGTTCATTTCCACTTCTGCACTCTACGAGTTTTAGATTAAGTCAAAATGCGTTACTTTCACCTCAACGTGAGCATACCGATATGGAGACTGTGCAAGCCAAGATAGCGTAGCTGGAGCCTTTGATAAAAAAAATAGATAATCTCACAAAAGTATACTAAATTTCTAATGTGTGGAATCAACCCAGAAATTATACTTGAAAGGTATTTTCGGTTTGATAATACTATATAAAAATATGCCTTTAATTATGTGCACCTTGCCAGCCCTACAGGTGGACGGGCGAACCGCAACGCTGAAGTAAAGGTTCTGAAAATACAAGGTGTCTTATAAAATAAAAGTTAGAATTTTGTTTTTACTTGCTCTTATCACAAAAAAAAAATGAACGACGCACCGCCGACCGCTCAGTACTTTGCCGAAATGTAGCGTCAGCGGTTTGAACCAGATGGCAATGTTTTAGAACTCATCGTTACGTCATTATAGCGTATGAAAAGCCATTAAGAAAAAATAGTTGAATGGGATAATGGTGAGTGTCGTACTCCACGAACACATAAAGATGCAAGCGTGTAAATAGGGCTATATTTCCTATCAAACGTTTCAGAATCGTTTTTATAAAATGACGGTTAGTCCTGAAACCTTGGCATCTCGCCCGGACAGCTAGAGTTAGAATTGCGCGGAAATTGAGCTTTCCAAGATGCGCAATATATTTATGTAGAAAAAAAACATATGCTTTTTTCGTTTGTCGTTTTGTATAATACAATTTTTTTTAGTAATTATTATATTCATGTAAAAAAAGCAGCAAGTTGTTTTTTTTTTTCGCTGTATAATGAATTTTTCTTCAGTAATTAAGGAGCATACAGGAATACGTTTGAAGTATACTTTGTTTCATGAACAAAATTAGTATAATTAAATTGAATGACTGCTGAATCATTTAGTTCCCCCTTTTGTGATCGGCGTTCGCGAAAGCATGGCTTTGCATAAATTTGATTGCACATTGGCTTCATTGGCATTGATCACGTTAATATTTTACTGCGCACTTTTGTGCGCAGTAAAATATTAACGTGCCCTAGTCCTTCGCCTTTTTGTGTTCAAGTGACTCTTAGTGTTTCAAGCAACTCTCGTAGTTTTTTTTTTGTTTTTTTTATCTTGCGACAAACTAGAGATGACTTCCATAGGGTAACTATCAAGAAGCCGTTTTACTGCTAGCGATAAAAAAAGAACAATGTCGACGGCGTTGCCTTTCTTGTTCAAACATCGCTGTCCACGTGTGATTTATAACACTGGAAACCATAATTTCAGAGAGTTCGGAATCTTATTGCAATGACAAGGACTAGATTTCGCTTTAGAGGAATCATTCGTTTGAGTGCTTATAATTCTTGTTGAGTGAAAAAAGTAGTTTGCATGCCTCAGAAAGGGTCTTGTAGAAACAACCAAAATATCTTATTACCGCTTGATGTTATAATTTCCACAGATCCTACCAAGGCCTCGCTCCGAGTCTCTATGTCGCAGAGCCTGAACTCCTCGCCGATGTATTTGTCAAAAAATTCAAGTCATTTGCGGACAGAACGGTATGGTGACACGTCCGAGCAATCGTATTTAATTAGTCCTGATTACTTAAAAAATAACAGAGCATATTGTAGCCAAAGAAACTTGTTTTTAATCGGGTGCTAAGAACATACTTTTCGTGTAAGGCCAGTCAAATTATGAGGCGCTGGATAAAAATGGTCATCTGCTTTAAGTCCTCATTTAGAACTGTCTTTCTTCACATTTTGTCTCTAAAGACCACGACTACACAGGTGATCTAGCAATGTGGCACTAATTAACGCCTCGGAGCAAAAACAGTATTAGGATTCAGTAATTAAAAAAGGACTGGGTGAAAAAAAAAAGAGGATTAGAGGTGGAATCGCACGAGCACAGCGCTCACCCAAAAGTGAATATATTCTACTCCTGCACAAAGGAGCGAGTAAACAAGACACGCTGTAGGTAGGAAACAAAACACAAAACCCGATCGAATACCCCCAGCATACCGACAAGCGCTTACGAAAAATTGCATTTTTTTTGCACCACTTTCTTTTTATTAAAGTTCATGGTAACCAAGGAGACAAACTGCGCGCCTTTGTTCCATGCTAGGCACCTAGGAGTGCCAAACGTGTGCCACATTAGTCTACGTGCTACATGGATATTCACCAACAAGGGCTCCGACGTCACGACGCAGCTGTGGTGCTGCTGTCGGCGCATGCGCAGAAGCGAGTCTAGTTTCTGTGCAAGAGCAGTGCTCCCACCTGGTGTAAAAATACGCTAACTTGTTCGTTAAAAAAAACGCGTTGTTTTGTACACAGTTTTGTTTGTAAAAAAACAAACAATTACATTCTAGAGTGCGGTGTCTTCGGGGGTACACTCTTTATATGCGTGGCTCGTTTCTCTATTTGCAGATTGGACAAAAGCTGGGGAAAGGTCATAGACAGAGAGCCATCGCTAATCTTTCCGGAGACGAGTGGAAACACGCCCGCACCATTATTACGCCCGCCTTCACGGGCAATAAACTCAAGGCAGTACGTTAGACGACGGACAGCTTTATTACAGCAGAGCACGGCGTATTGTTTTTCCCCTTCTTGCCTCGTGATTGGTTTTTCGACGTTCTTATCGGCAAGACCGGCAATCTGATTGGCTGTGGATGAGCATTACGCGATGCTCGGGTCTTGCCGCGCTGGGCGTTGCTTAAAGGGGAGGTGAAACTCTTTTGAAAGAACTCTGAGTTGGGAGAGCGCTTCAATGAAACGAGCAAGTGTTCTGAAATTCGTCTTTGGCGCATGCAAACGCAAAAAAGGGCGTACCAATCAAAGGCTCACATCGACAAAAAGCAGATAAAGCGTGATGACGATGCACTAGGCTCACGCAACCAGAGCCGTAAATGTAGAGAGTTTGGCCATTTGTTGGGAAATATAGGAGACAAATGAGAATGTGCCATTGCCCGCAAGCGAGCTGGGCGTGTTCCAGGGCGTCTTCAGAAATTTGAATGTGACCAAGCAGAAGCCGGAAATAATATCCTGGCGGTGGTCGCGAGAAACAAACCTGATAACTGCATTGGAGTAACTCTCAATGGCTGAAAATATGGTACACGTGATGTTTCAATCGCGTTAATCCAAAATGATGGTGGAGGAGTGCGACTAGCGGAACGATCGACATGATCCGTACGCCAAGCGCCCAGGTCCGGGAATTTGCCGTCCGAACGGTCACACTCTGTCCGCGCAAAATAGAGTTGCGCGGCGCATTCGTTTCTTACATCTTTCTGCATGATCGATCATGATCAAAACAACACGTGCACCCTATTTTCAACCACAAAGAGTTACTACCCTTCACTCTTACGCGCTTATTAAAACCATATACGAACATAAACTTTTGATCAGAACTGTTTGCCGCTACCACCGCTAGGGGATTCTTTTCGGCTTCTGGTTGGTCAAGAGAGCATGGCAAGCCCTCTTTCCGACTCTGCCGCGCGCCCTGACTCGGCCCGCACCTCCCATTGACCAAACTCTCTACATATACGGCTCTGCACGCAACCATTGCTCGAGGTCAGGGTGTAAACAGACGCACGAGGTGCGCAAGGAGATTACGAACTTGCACGCCGTATAGCAGAGCGCAAGTTCGTCTGCTTCTTGCCGAGGGATTGCACTGGCGTCAGAACGACAGGCTCTGATTTTATCTAATAGAGGGATAGTCAATAGACCTCAATGCTAGCTGCCTTGAGGCCTACCCACTATCCTTGCGATCGGAGCCAATCAGAGCTCGGCGTTTTTTTCGTCCCCGCGACCCCTCCCGAAGAGGCAGACGAACTGCATTGCTTTCTGTCAGATGAATTCAGTTATCGCACTTACCTTCGACGCAAGTATTTATGTTGCATCGACTATGTGCAGCGGTTGACGCGGGCATCCTGCGATCTTATCTGCCGTCTGCTACCTGTCCGGAGCGTACTGACGTCGTGGACGACATGCTCGATTCAGTTTAGTGGCGTGCGAGGGTTATCCGGTGACGACGTCACTTTTGATAGTTTCCTCTTTCCGCTCTCGCGCTTTTCCGCCCTCGGCGAGTCGCAACGGTCCAGTCTACGTCGAAATTTTAAGTAGCTATTAAGACTCTCCTACTACTAAATTAGAACAAAGTCTCAAGACTTCATTTGTAACGTGCCTACGTTAACACTTTTACGGATTCTTGGAATTCAAAGACCTCTTCAGATTCCTTTTAAGCTATTGGTGGATATATATCGTAATTTAATCAAACAGGGACTAGCATTCTTTCAAAACCTTTTTCAGTCAGTTCCGAGGATTGCTAAGGTCACCGAAAGGTTAACGGCCCGGTTAAGAAAACATGCCAAGAACGGAACTCCGGCTGCTGTAAACGAGTGAGTACGCTAACGTGCATGAAACGTTTTTAATTCAGTGTAGAGCATGAGTTGCCCAAGTTCCGTGAAAGTAAGGTCCTCCGTCATTTACGTAATTGCGGGATAGTCATCTTGGTCACTTCCGTTTTGTTTGTTATAACTCGCGCCATACCATGCTCATTCTATAAACCTAGAGAACCGTTTTTTTCCTGAAAAAATGCTTTTCGTCTCGGCAAAATACGCAGGCTCTTCCATAGCTGCGCGAGAGACGCAACAGCCGCCGCGGTATTCAGCTTTGACATGGACAGTCACGTGGACAAGAAGCATCCACTGATGGTGTGTTTCAAGACGCTGTTCGCTGAAGTGGTTCCCAGCTGGAAGTTTCTGCTTGTGTGTAAGTGCACCTGGGGACGAGAGCTGCCTCTTAAGTATATCTCATCTTTTCGTGCTGCGATTGGACAGTCGAAGAGAGAGAATGCGCGATAGGCGTTATAGCACAAATTCTAAAGCTCTTTAGGTTTGCTGAACTCAATACAGGAGGGCAGTGTGATATGACATGACGCAATGAAGACCTGCACCGCGGTGTTATATGAGAACAACCAAGTAAGAAAAACAAGTACGAATAAAGACAACATCATACAATCACCAACAACCACGTTGAACGAAGAATATTATGATACGTTTTTCAGGTCCGGTATTTGGAGGTTAAGACATATTACACCAGAGTTAATGACAAGACGAAAAGTAGAAAGCGTCGCTCTGGTAGTCTCCGGCACGGGCTCGCCGTCTTCTGTCGTGCTTTGGTGATTTGACTGCGAAGGCCCGTTAGAAGCGAACCAGACGTCGAAGGGATATCGAAGGTAGCCAACTCGCACCCATTCTTTCACTGATAATAGGGGGAATGATGATAGATAACGTAATGTTGAGACTTTCTGTCTTTGTCGCCTTCGTCCCTCATCTTGTTTGTGTTTTTCTTTTTTTCATGTAAATGTAAATATGTAAGCATGGTCGAAGTCGTCAGTTTAGTTCTAGAACGTAGCTCCCAGGCGCCCGTTTTCGGCTTGAGCGGCGTCGCCGTAACCGTGAGGTCACGTGACCCCTCAAATCACGCGAAGCCCCTAGGTCACGTGATCCCCCCCTCCGCCTCCCCCCCCCCCCCCCCCCCCCCCCCCCCGAGATCACGCAACACCTCCTAGAAGAGAAGGCCGGAGTGCTCTTCTCGTGACGTCGCGAAGGAAGGCCATTGGGGGCGCGCGTCGAAGCGAATGCAACGCGCGTGGATCGACTGTCGTAACGCGCTTTTAGTCACATACGCATGTTTTATTAGCTAAAATTAAAGTTGCACATAGCAATGGGTCTAGAAAGCACTTTGTTACACGGGCAAAATATTACACCGCTAAATAATATGTACGGAATGGCACGTGGTATGCGTTGTTTTAACTCGAAAACATTGAGTCACGCCATTATTGCAGTACGAATGAATATTTTATACAGAAATACTTCGACAAAATGGCGAGACACGCAGTAACTGGACACAGCAAAACAGACCACAGTTAAGAATCAGGTAGACGTAGTCAACGCGAACTCGGCAAGACAAGTGTCACTTGCCATCATGGAAGCGATGCTAACGCGTGATGTCACTGAATGTTTGCATTATACCCGGCCATAAGGCAACATTAATGTAATTTTGATCGAATGACCTTATGGGGTCGACAAATCAGTTTGCGACGTTCGTATAATCACTCAAGACCGCGAGCTGATTAAATTTCATATCATTGAATGAAAATATATTCACTTTTACGTCTGGCAGAGATACTACTTATTCAACTAATTTACTTCTCCCTATGAGCTCGAGCCGCCTTAGAACGAAACATAACTTATTTGGTATACAATAATACTAATGCGTTAATACAGTTAAGATTCTAGTATGAACGCGGTAAAAGCAATAAAAGAACATTACTATAGATAAACACATAACCACAAACAACGCACTTTCAATAATCACACAAAATTGTTTTTCACCTTCCAGTGAAAACTAGATTACCGCGCATATTTGCAAATGTCGACGCAACTGCACACGGATAATGGCAAAGAACAAAATTCAAGTCTATCATAAGATTAAAAAAAACAAAAACGATTGCAGCTTTGGCTTGCGTCCTACATGACTAAGAAAGCCCGTAAATGAATTGTTTCTCACTTATCGATCGGATTCATACGTCCCCGAATATTCTTAACAAAAACGTTTGACCACGAACTCCAAGAGGTCTCCCTTTGTCGAGAGAGAGGTTTACCGATAATCGACCAGAGCCATCCTTAGCTTGTTGTCACACATTTCACTCAAATCGTAGCAGGACTTGTTCCACGAATCCACGTAAGTGCCGTAATATCAAGCAAAAAAAAAGAAAACCACGTGAGACTGCGGTGACGACGGAAATACGACGGGAAGATAAAACAAGTCTCAATAGTACCACACACAAGAGCAGCGGGGACAAAAGGCTTAAAGGAGCTGTGCAACAATTTCACGGCTTTGCTCAAATAATCGTGGAAGTTGATGCCTGACACTTCTGCAGTGAACTACAGAAAACAGATTTTGCCTGGATACCCTAGTTTTTATTTTAAAGAAATGAAAAAGCTCCAGGTCTTTGCCGCCTCTCAACTCGTACATCGTCTTCCGGGTCACGTGCGCAGTGACGTCACTTGAGTAGGCGCGGGGTTCCGGAAAAGTTCTCTCTTTAGAGCTATCAGCGAGCAGCGAGAACTCATCCGCTCGCGACCGCGTGACCACGTTATGGTGTACTAGAAGGGAGGTGTGCCAAGCCCCGCTCGGTTCCGGGGGCCTCCGCCGGACGCTGTCGCTTCGTGGCGCTGCTAGGGAAAGCGCGGTAGATAGAATACAGCACGCCGCTTCGAACGTATGCAATGCAGCCGTGTGGTTATGTTTAAAAAATGTTTTTGCGTTCGTCGCGTTGCTTGTTTGAAACATGGTTGCTTTTGACAAATACCCTACTCCATTTTTTTGCCTCTGTAACATAATAAAGTAGTGTTTACTGGTTTTATGAACCGGGAGCGCTGATCCCGTTCCTCAGCGCGCGAGCGGGACCATACTGGATTGCTCGCTTCCTGGTACTTCTGCAGTGGCATTTGGGTTTTTTTCTCAAACATGTAACATATAAAACTTGACCAGTACATAATCAAAACCTAATAAATCCCCAATATTATTTTTTTTTCTCTCTAATAACCGCAATATCCGGGCCCCTCCCAACAGAACATAAAAAAGTAATACAGGTTCAGTTCAGTTTAGCGGAAACTTTATTGATGCTATGATGCTAAGACTAGTCTTGAAGAAAAAAAAATTAAAAAAAAGAGGAATGCTTTCATTTTTTTTTTTAATTGTAGATATACCTCTCTTAACGTGTAGGTGTCCAACTACACTTTCTTCTTTTTCAATTTCTGTTCTTTTGATCTAGTTCTTTCGGTCCTGTTTTTGCCTTTCAAGAAGAAATGCATCCGTGTGATGCAGTAGAACTTCACCACTGATCGGGTGAGGCAGTCGCAGTGGTCAGCGCAGCCAACTTTTGGGAGCCCTTTCAGCGAGCCAACGATCTCGTACATTATGCTGGCGTGAAGCTTGGACGTGCTGAACGCCTTTGTCAGATGGTTTTCCAGTGTCATCACCAGGTGGTACAGCTTCTCGGAGGGGTACAGCAGACCTCCCTGGTCCCACTCCATTGTCGCATCTGCTGGCAGGTGTTGTGCGACGTCGCCCCGCTCTGTGAGGCAATCCGCTTTGCATAGCCTGCAGCCAGTGTCCAATACCCGTTTTCGTGCCACATACCCGGCTATGTAGTAGACGAGGCGACCATCACTGCGCTCAGCAACGTAGGGAAGGTGGTCCAGAACATGCTGAGCCCCATCAAGGTCGCCGACGTCAATCAGCTCGTCGAGCTGCTTGTAAGCCGCTGGTTCGTCAAGAGGCACGGTCTCGGGGGTCAAAAGTGCATCCAGCACGCCAGGTGCTATGCTGCCGCTCACAGGGCTTTTAGCAAGGCTGTAGTAGCTCAGGCACCTCATGATGGCACAAAATTGTGCCGGGGTGGGGTTGTCGTTCGGACCGGATGCTTGCCGAGCAATCCCAAATAACCGTTCGATGCAATCTTGGCTGAGTCTGGATGTCATTATGTAGCGGTAGCCAAGTTTCGTTGTGAGGTATGTCAGCAGCTCCTTTGTGCTGCGCAAGGTTACCCTCAAGCCTTCTGCCGTACTCTTGCTTAGGAAGCCGCTGCCTTTGGCATGACGGTCCCACCGATCAAGGAAGTCCAGTGTCTGGTTGATGACAGCTTCCTCGTCGCTGTTTGGCCTGCATATGCACCAAGAAAGCAAAGCCTGCGTCAGTGTGTACCACAAAACATCGAGCTAACCCTGATACACTAATAGAGCCGAATGATAATGCATCGTGTGCTTCTGTCGACTTGATTCAGTTGTTCTGCCCCCATCTGGCTATGTGGTAATCTGTGATGCAGGCACAAACACGCTATGCGACGCATTCTGCACGAATCTGCTCTATGTGGAGTATCAAAGTAGATTCAAATTTTTCTCTTTACGCTTGCACTCAGTTTTTAGTTGTTCAATAACATGTCGTTTGTAAGCACCATGATACTGGCTAGAAGAAAAACGATGAGGTGCTAGTAAAAACTTGACCTCCTCCCCCTTTCTCTTGTTCCCTTCCACCCTACTGTGGGAAGTAAAGAGGGAGGCGATTGTTACCCCTTATAGCACTTGATGTAACGTAATCATATTCCTACTTTTCACTTAGTAAAGTTTGCTATAATAAATTGGTGTGCAGTCTAATTTTTAACCTTTATGCCAAGTCATATGACTTGATCACAAGACTGCCATAGGGTATGTAAGATAACCCACAATAGTTACCCTATCAGCATATAGCAGCCGTAAAAACAGTCACCATAGCTAGTAGTCACAGGATTGGTTTATGAAACAAGAAGTTGCTGGATAGATTCCTGGTGAGGCACAAACTGAGAATCTGCCTTAAAGTGCACACTACTATGTTAAAACAAACCCCCTGCATGTAACAATACAAGTTTTACCTGAGTGCCTTCAGTGGTGTTCGTGATGTCATGACACGGATGAGGTTCACCATGAGTTCAACAAAGGCTCGGGTGGGCTCCAAGTTTGGGTACTGCTCCTCAACCTTTCCTTTGTGGATGAAAAATGCATGTAGCATTGAAGGACTGAAAACCTGAAATGCGAGGTCCACCCTCATTTTTTCGAATCCATTGGGGTAGATGTGGGCCCGTGTGAGTCGATGTGCTGCCTTGGGTGAAACATCACTGCTTTCGCATTTCCAAGTGGCCGAGATGTGTTCCCAGTGAGCCTTCA